CGCTAAGCCCCGTGCGGCAATTCTGTACGGCTTGTAATTAGCGCGCCTTAGTTGTCAATCCTGCTCTGTCGAGCGATAGACTTGCGCAACAGCACCGCGACCTAGAATGCCGTAGTATCTTGCTCGGGATACACCCTTTATTCGTCTTTGTATATCTTAACAAACTCTTAGATATATATGTTAAACATTAGACACGTCCGAGGCCGTCCGAGATAGGGCTGCCGTGCATGCTAGCAGCAAATTGTCGTATTACCAGCTACACAGAAGTTTGTTAGCGATGAGACAAAACACAGAGATAGATCTAGGGTCGATATCTTTATTCCGAGATTTTATGCGTATTTTAGCCATGGTTGAATTTGTTATGGTGGAATTACTACCGGCATGCCGCCACACAGGGTTTTCCGCCACACATGGAGGGATAGTAAAGAGTTTCTAATTAGTGGAATGGTCAATCTTATAGTGCAGTTTGACTTAGATCGGTTTTAGGGAGCCTATTATGGGATCTAGATTTGGTTCTCGTGTTTCCAAGGCTGAAGGCTTACTATTATTAACATCACTTTCGGTGGCTGACCGCGTGCACTAAAATTACGAACAGTGACGTTTTTATATGCACGTCATATTTTTTTTCACAATTAAACACATATTTACTGAATAAAAAATTCGATAGTATTCAGAAACTACATTACATGAAAGCTCCAACTGTCGTCACATCCGCTACAGTCTTTATGGGAGTTATGGGCAAGCTCCCAAATCTAGAGATACGTTAGATTTGCTACTATCAATCAAAGCTTACACTTTAAGTACCTCTTTGTCTCGGTAACAGTTGTACCATAGAGAATCACCATCTCGTTCTACTGTGATGTATATACGCACATCTGAAGATAGTATATAGCACTCAAATGAAGCAAGACCCTCTTGACCTCTGGGACACGATTGCATAGCGTTAATGTTCACACAACATCCAGTGTGATAGACCTTCTTTCATGTCAGTGAATCCCAAGTTTGTAGGTGTTGACTTAGACATACGGTTGAAGGGGTATCGTGGAAGTGTTGTACAACTTCAGGGAATCCGAATGGCAGTTCAATCTCCTCATCAAATCGTGCTATACCTCGATGATGACACCTATGCACACGGAACATGGGTGGTTGAAGATTTTCAGGGATTTGGGCCCAATCAATATGGGAGACGTTCGTGGGATGCGAATTCTCAAAGACTGGAGGGCTCGAACTCGAACCCATAGTATCCTTATATGGTTCATCGTTAGCGCGTATGGCTGGAAAGTTCAGTGTGACTGATCCTCCAAATTCTGCGCCATAACAAGTCCGTGTTATCGACGCCTGATCATGGAGCAGCAGGCCTTGAGGAGGCGTTTTTAGAGACACTGGTGCTTCTTCAGCAGCTCTCAAGGCCAGCTCGCTATGGACGACCCCAGATCCATGGACCAGATACCCTTCAGTAGAGTCTGTATGCTGAAAAAGGTAAGCATACATCCAACGGGAATTGTTTGCTCTTACTAATGGCTCAGTCACTTTGGAGTCGAAAACATTTACGTCATCATCATGCCGAATCTCTGTATAGACAGAAGCACCAGAAGACGTTGCATATCGACTCAAGATGAGGAACAAGATATCCTCTTCGCTCAATGGTCTGATCTGTTGAACAAATGATTGATATTCTTCAATAAAGCGCTCGACATGGGCAAACGCTTGGCTATGCTGAACTTCGATAACGTGAGAATTATCAGTAGGACAGCCAACACCCTAGAATCCTTTTAGGAGGGCTCAGTAAAAGGAGTTGTTGCATTTGCTTACCAGGGTATATCCATTTAATGAATCCCGCAAACACTCAAGATGTTCTCGGAAGTCAATCTGAGAGGGCTCCCCCTGAGTAGTGAAATTAGAACGATACTTGGCGTTCCGGACTCTCCACTGGCGATTCTGTGATGGGCCTTCCCCAGGGTATGGGGGCGGAGCAGGCTCTTGGCTCCTTTCCATATTATCGGGCGACTGAAGTGTCTTTGAAGTGAAAACGGTAATGTGATAACCAGATGACACCCGTGAACTCTATATTAAGTGGCAGAGAAACTAATATTTATTCTTCACAAAAAGCGCCCTGAGTTCAGGGACGGAGTTCGGTTACCTAAAACCGAAACGCGATGATTTTCGTGTCTCGTTCGTATTAAGCCACTCTATTTTAGGTGACATGCTCGCTTATTACTACTATATAGAGCTAGTTATTAAAGCCCAAATACAAGATATATAACCCCATGTTGCGCAACCCCACTAAGCAAACTATCAAACCAGGAAGATGTGCATCTTTATCATATTCAGGCGCTCTCACACTCATCATCAGTCCATTGAGGATAACATTTCCTTCCGGCAACAATGGGTAATCGCACTTCGAGGTTCCATCGGCAGCCTTTTTCGAAACCACCATAATCTGGGCCCTAGCCGACTAAGAAGGTCTTCAAGTCAATCACCCCCACCGTACCCGTACGAACACGCTTCAGGTAGTTCTGAAACCTCATTGAGCGAGGCGGAAACATTGCGGCCAACCCCCGCTGAGAGAAATGCTTCTCTCAACGTGAATATTATTGAGTCAAGCACGGCGTAATGGACAAGCCCATCATATCGATAATGGCATATTATATGCCCGGAAAGAAGAGGAAAAAAACACCATGTAGCTCGTTTAGCAATGCGCTCTTTCAAGCCTTATGTTCGTAGCAAATTGAAATCAGTGAAATGAGTCTTACTGTTTAATATCGAACAACTGCGCGTACGTGACGTCTCTAAGAAACTTCAATCATTGGAATACTATCCCTCCATGTGTGGCGGAAAACCCTGCGTGGCGGCATGCCAGCAATGCTCCCACCCTAACAAACGCAACCACAGTTGAGGAGCGTACAGAATCTCGGGATAGCAACCTTAGTCTTAGAGCTCTCTCTACACTTCATCTCGTGCCTATTAAGTTCCTGCTTAACTAGCAATACCACGATTTGTCGCCAGCACACACGGCAACCCCGCCTCGGACAGCCTCGGACGCGCTAAAGGTTTAACGTAGGCATCTAAGAATTTGTTAAGTTATATAAAGATGCATAGAGAGTTGATTCCGAGTGAGATGCCACGGTATTCTACGTCGTGGTGCTATTGCGCACGTCTATTGCTCTACAGAGCAGGATGGACAACTAAGGCGCGCTAATTACAAGCCGTACAGAATTGTCGCA